CGCCGGCTTGCCTTGTTCCCCCCAAAGTAAATGATGCACAGGCACCGTGCAGGTCACCGTCTCTCAGTTCTAAAGCCCACGTGCCCATTTTAGTGGCTTTTAAAGGTGGTCGGGGGTCTGCATCGGCACTCTGACCGGTCCGCAGCTCCATACGCAGGGAATTGTAGAGAACTGCGTGTCCTGACACCCGTCTGTCGTAACAGCATTAAGGGTTTTTAGCCATTGTGCTCAGGTCGCTCTCTCAGGAGCAGCCTTTGCTCCCCACATGCATCAACAAGCCTTGAGTGCTCAGGACCATGCTGCTAGTTCACTGGCCGTGTTTTCTTGGACCACTTTTGTTAGCGACTAACTATTGTATACCCGGAACACCCAACAAAACCTGCTGTTTAAACACGCTCTGACTCAGTCTCCTAGTCGTCACGATGTGGCCCTTATCAAAGTCTTCAGATCCACATGCTTTCGGACTATTCATTTGCTGTCTAATGTATCCCATGATCAATATTATTCACGTCACCTGTCTGCAGTTTCGATGTTGCAGCTGATCTGGATATGATGGTGCACAAGATGTAATTATTTAAAAGTCCCTCAAAAGTGTGCTTCGGTACAGTGTTGTTAAAGCACAATACAACACTGGGCTGTAGTCCTGGATTTATACCGCCTAACTGTCGAATGTTCCAAAAACACGAGACTTTATCATCAGTGGTAGATATAATTAGCCAGTGCCAGTAGGTGTGGTCTCACTGTGGATGTTTCTTGGCTTTGCTTTGGGATTTTTTAAATTATTTTTCCGAAGGCCACCTGGCCCTTGAGGCAGGGTTTGTTGTGTTGCTGTGCCAAAGTAAATGTGGGAGGCACCTTTTTACTTTCCAACAGCACAGAACACACAAGTACCTACAATGCACAACACAAACACGAGTTTTACTGATGGGTCCATTTATTAAAGCTCGCTTGCGAGTCCGAGTGCCTGCGGTGTTCAGCTGATCTGACTGGTGCACTTGCAGGAAGCCGGACACCAGGAGGCCACGTCCTTGTGGCTGCAGTCCCACTGCTGCTTCAGCTCGGGACAGTTGCTGTACTGATCCGTGGAGGGACAAGGGTTGGCTGTGGGAGAGAAAAGAGAAGGCATGAGTGACAGCACAAAAAAAAAGAATAAATAGATTTCATTTAAGTTAAAAGAAAGGCAGATCAAGAATTATTTACATATTTTTGGACCATAAAGCAAAATTCTAGTCACAGTTTTCGTCTAAACAAATGTTCAAAACTGCCAAAAAGACATAAAACGTTTAGTCTACTTGACACTGAAACACTTTTTCAAGCTGGTATCGTCTAAGTTGATTGTGGACATGTCTCCACAAATGAAGCTCTTTGTCCCTGTGTGCATCTACAAACTGTAATCTGGCTTTCTTTGGGTTTCTTCTGGAGTGATGTCTTCTTCCTCTCTGAGCAGCCTTCCAGCCCATGCCGGTACAGGACTGGTTCCACTGTGGATAATGACTCTCTGACCAGCTTCAGCAGCATCTTCACAAGGTCTTCAGCTTCTGTTCTGGGGTTGATTCGCACATTTCAACCAGAACACTTCATCTCTGGGAAACAGAACCCGTCTCCTTCCTGAGCGCTATGATGGCTGGACATTCCCATGGTGGTTATACTTGATATAATTGATTGAACAGATGAACGTGGAACCTTCAGGCATCTGGAAATTGTATCCAAGGATGAACCAGACTGGTGGAGGTCCACAGGTCTCCTCCTGATGTCTTGGCTGATTTCTTTAGATGTTCCATGTTGCCACAAAAGGAAGCAGTGTGTTCGAGGTGAGCCTTAAAGTACATCCACAGGTGTGCCTCCAATTAACCTATCAGAAACTTCCAAAGCCATGACATCATCATCTGGGCTTTCCCAAATAGTTTGAAGGCATCTTAGTGGATGTAAAAAAAATCTCTAAAAAATATTATCTCTCTTATTATTCTGGCATTTAGCAAATATAAATAATGTTGGTAATCCTCACTGACCTAACACAGGAAAAGTTTAGTCTGATTTAATGTCAGATAGTGAGAAAAAAAAAGTTATGTGTCCTTTTATACAGTGATGTTAAGTTCTGGTTTCAGCTGTACATACATACATAAATGTTTAACACCTTTTGAACTGTTCACAAATAAGAAACATACCATAACTCAAGCGAGGGCGCTGCTCGGATTAGAGTTGTGTGTCGTTCAAATGTCTCTTCCAGTTATTCTGGGGACAGAAAATACATCATTGGTTCTCAGTAGGCAGAGTCAAACAAAAAACAAAAAACATATTCATTGTTTTCTGTTAATGCTTTCAGTTTTGTTAGTTTTTTTCTTTCCAAAACTTCATTTATCATTAATATTAATGAAATAATTCATGTCTATTGTGTACAGGACAACTCCAAGCTACCACTTTCAATAAGAACACTGGACTAAAGCACCGTATTTATTACTCACTGCACAGTTTGTTGTCGCAAGAGTTGCGGCAGTCGGCGCAGGAGGTTCCTGACTTGTAGGGGTTCGTGAAGTTGTAGTTCCCGCTGTAATGTAGGCCAGACCATCAAATATTAAACACAACAGCAAAGACTCAACGTGTCACGAATATCCTCTGAGAAAGCAGAACGTATTTAAATGACCATTTAATGGCCACTCAGCGAGGTGTAGGAAGACAGATTTAATGCAAATTGCACATTTCTCCTTATTGCATGCATCACAGCGCTTTAGTTGCATCCATGATATTCAAATCAGAAAGTGTTCCTGATGGTAATTTTTAACATAAGTTGTACTAGAATAGCACTCAGAGTAGGCTGTCGTGGTTTGAAGTGTATAATAACTATGACACAGAAAGAGAAAACATCAGAAACAGGATGAAAAGCAGGATGGTTATTCGACTTTGTTATGTTCTTTCTACTCAGATGTGCAGCAGGTTCACGGCTTGGATTCGTTTAACTCAAACAACACATAAAATCTGTCACGTATATTAACTTGAAGTGAGAAAACATGCACTTTTCATCAGGCATCAGTATTGCAAAACGCTTGGTACTCACGGTGGACAGTAGTGGCAGACGTAGAAGTACTTGTATTTGGAGTTGGGACAGTAGGCCCTGGCACAGCCGATCTTGTTAGAAGTGGCCCAAACAATCTGTGCAGAGACAAAAAACGAGGTCAGACCTGCAGAACTACATTCACTGTTTGGACAAATGAATCTTCTTTGGGCCTTTTTTAAAATGTTGTATTTTTAAGCAGATGGTGGCTAATTAGCACATAAATTATTCAGAAGTCCTTAAACAAGCTGCACCTGGGTGAAGTGTCCGACCACTCCTCCGTTGACAGATCCCACTCCATAGCGCCAGTCCTTCACCTCGTCGTACCACCGCTGGATAGCGCTGGTCCAGGTGTTCTTGCTGCTGGACATGTACAGATTTTCTCCACAGCCGCTAGCTGCAGGTAAAGAGCAGCAAGAGAGATTGTTCACCTTCTGTCAGACTTCCTAAACCCCATAATGAACATGTGCGCCACTCACGACTGCAAAGAAGAATGAAAACTGTCCTCGTACGAGCTGAACCCTGTCTGCCCTCAACTCTCATTTTTGAGGACAATTAGACACTAGAGGGTCACTTTAGTGAAACTTAATGGCTTCTCAGTGTATTGCTTTATCCACTAGAATATAAAGTTCTTTTTTAGAGAGAGATTATTCCTGAAGTGATGCTGATTCTTAAAGATGACCTGATTAGACTGAATGTCAGTCACCGATTAGCCAAATCTCCTGCCTCTGATGTGATGCACACTTCTGACCAACTACTGCAACTACAGAAGACTTAAAACAAAAAGAAAAACAGTCGTACATGGGGCAGAATAATTGGTGAAAATGTGTAACTGCAGTTTGTCTTACAGATATTTGCATTTGCAACTTGATTTGTGATATATTTCCTTCTTAAATATCATCGTCTCACATGATGTTCTACTTGGACTGCACGGAACCAGAGAACTGTTTCACATTTATAAATCTAGTCCAACACCACCACTAATTTAATTAACACCTCTTGGAAAGTAAAATAAAAAAAACTAACAAACCCCCTCCCCCCCATGACAATCCTTCTAAAAGTACACTGCAAAAGAGTATTCTGTAAAAAAATAAAAAATAAAATAAAAAACTGTGAAAATCCAACAGCCTTGTGCCAAAAAGTGTTAAAAATGGTCAAATACTGTAATTATTATTTTTTTAAATGGTTAAAATGATATCAGATAGCTGTAAACTAATGATATTTAATGGTGTCACACGTTGTAAAACAGCAATAATGAAGATGTTTAATGTGGACATCATGCATAGTATTTTATATTATACCTGATTTTGTGATTTTACTGGACACTATTTGTAATTTGAGAAGAAAAACCTGTAAAATAACAGTAAACTGTTGAAAAAATAACAGGTAACAACTGTTGTTTTGTTTTTGTTTTTGTTTTTTAAAGTCATATTTACAGGGTCGTATGTTTGGTAGAGCTGTCGGGTATAACAGAAATAACTGCTCTGTGAGACCACTGCTTACAACTTGCCACCATATTTTCTTCTCGTTTAATCACTGCAGAAACCAACTTCCTTGAGTGTAGTTGCCTCTAAACTCTATAGATGTGAATGATTTAGTCAGAGTCTCTACAATGTTCTCTTTAAAAACTAATGACTAAATAATCCCACCAGTCTGGGCTCCAGTGCAGAATCACAGCCACTATTACAGAAGATTTTTTTGCCTTTACTAAAAACAACAAACCCTCCTAACATAAGGATTCTTTGTCATTTCTGGCATAAAATACTCAAAAAAAAAAGATCTTTACGGGTCAAACATGCTGAGAAACTCTCACAGATTGTTTCGGTGGCGTGTCAGTGTGTCGGACTTCTGTAAGGTGTTTTTTAAAAAGCCAGAGAGGTGTTATGAGGAACTTACTGCTGATCTGTCTGGAGCTGGCAGGGCTGTGCTGCATGGAGCAGGTGTTGGCCCATTTCTGAGCGTTGGCTGCAGCCTCGTTGTTCCAGCTCTGCAGGGAGCAGAGGACAGAGCAGCCACTAAATCAGCACATGTCCACGGCTACGGCACGCTCACCGAATCATTTAGTTTTTCTTTATTAATCAAACCGATAAGATCAACGGGCAGTTCGTGGTCAGGTTAAAATCTTTTTATTGGCATCCAGTCAAGCACGCTATGCTTTGGAAATGATGAAATGATATAAACGGCATCCGTTAGGAAGTTTTTACCATTTTCTTCATGTTGCGAGCGGTGGGTTGGACTCCCCTCCTCAGGGCGTTATGCTTGTTCACAATTTCATTCTTCTCTGAGGAAGTGGTGAAGACGGAGCCTGAAAAAAGAAAAGAGAAAAAAATCAAAACGTATGAATGCATGGACAGAATCTCAGTGATGACTGATTATGAGTTGCAGTTACACTCACCCTCCTTCAGGTGTGATTTTCAAAGACGAGAGGGAAAACAACGGTTAGTTTACAGCACCATCCAGAAGTAAACTCTCACAAAAACGTACACACGATACGTAGAGGAGATCTGATTTTACTTACCCCCAGAGGCTCCACATCTGGCACCTGGAGGGCGGCAACGAGGCCGAGGGCACACAGGAAGGAAAAAATGTACAGAGACATGGCTAAATCCAGGACTGTCAACCTCCAAGAGCCACAGGTGTGATTTATATGCACAGGACCACACAGACACGTGGGAACTGAACACGCAAAATTTCAAGGACATCTTAGTTTATTTGGACCGAAGTGAAGATAGTGGAGCACCTGTGAAACGTCCTTGGTGACAAATGGAGAACTGCAGCTCCGTGTTTGCGCTGCACATCTGTGATAAAGAGTCACAGCGATACCTCGAAAACAGCAGATATCAGTAGCATTAAATACTAAAGTAAAAGTGGGCATGTTAATAGATTTGCCAGCTTGTGGGAAACTTTTTGACAGAACAGCGTCGCTAAATCTCCGCAGAGGTTACACAACACTGCCCACAGTAAAGATAGCAAATGATGATTTAAGTGTGTATTACCTCGATGTTTGTGTCCATACAGCTTTCAGATTCAACCTTATCGTCAAGACAAATTAGCTTTGCAGTCAGAGAATAACACAGAGTACATGCTGTTGGGAGTAGAGGAGCTTTGAGGAGCTTTGAGGTGTCTCCTGAGGAACCATTCAGAAAGGTTCTTCTTCAGGGTTCCATTTTGAACCTTGGCATCAGCGTCAAGAGTCTTTTGTGGACAAATCTGTCGGCAGAAAGATCCTAATTTGCAAAATCATTCTCTACAACTTGTATTTAGTCGTTATTATTATTATTATTGTTCAAAAGAGCGCCATAATTTAATGCCAAAAAAACTACAAACTGCCATCTTGCAGGTGTGAAGTGTCCCGACAGCTAACCCTGTAAAGAATCCTCCAGGAACCTCTTTTGTCTTATTAGAGGTTCTTCCAAAAACCTCTTCGCCACATGGAGCTGGAAAAGGTTCCTCCAGGAATCCTCCAAGCAAGCAGGGTTCAGTAAATAGTTCTTAGAGGCTTTGCTAATTCTAAAACAGTAGGAAAATAAAAACATACAGTCCTGATCAAAATCTGAAGACCACCTAAAAAAATTGCATGAATTTGCATTTTGCACTGTTGGATCTTAGGAAGGTTCTAAGTAGAGCCTCAAAATGCAGAAAGAAGGAATGGGAACAAGAGACCAAAGGTTGTGAGCAGGCAATTTATTGAAAACAACAATTCAACTCAAATCTCTCTCTTCATTGCTCGTCAATGAGTAAATTAATAAAAATACAAAACTAGTAGCATTAATATACTTTAGGTAATAAAAGTACAAGTGTTCAGGATTTAAAAGTCATCACCTTAATGATGCTGCTTGTAATTGTAATTATACGGCTGGATAACTTTAACACTTATTTAAATCTGTAATCTATTTGTAAAAGTGTTATCTCTGAATTGTCGTGGAGCTCAAGAGATGTGAAGGAGCAGAAAAATAAAACTATAATTCTGTATGACACCTCAGTAAATGGACGACAAGATTAAATGTGATGCTTTGTTGTAGCTTTAAGTGCTTAACATGGCATGTAATGTGATATTAAATAAAAGCAAAAACACTGTATAACGGAGGAACCTGAATGATCATTTTCTATGAGTTTGATCCATTGTTAATATAAAAGCATTGATTATTGCAGCTTTAACTGAAGGATCTGAACACATGTCGTCCACAGTATCGCCGTTCAGCCTGGACATCTGAGGCTAAAGGCCTGAATGCTTTATTAATAGCACCACATCTCAATACTTTTTTGTTTGTTTGTTTGTGCCTTAGACCACAATCACATCTCAGAGCTGCTTAGTATAGAAATTCTAAAGGTGGGAGAGAAATGTTTTTATGATACCTTCCTCTGATACATAAATACAAATAACAGCCATTATAATAAAGGGGATGTATTTATTAACACTGAGGGGCAAAGAGGGAGGAAAATGCAATACAAGTTCAAGTCAACGATAAAAATATGTTCTGAGGCACAAAGAAAAGCAGATAACGGCAGAAAGAAAAGAACACCTTCACATAAAGGGCAGCTTTGGAGAAAAACGTTTAAGCTGCTAAAAGAGATGAAAAACACAACCGCCATCCGATACTCGTGGCTTCATAGATTTAAAATGATATCTTAAAGCTTTGGTAAAGTCAGTCTGAGGTTCCAAAACACTGCTCGCTGCAACAAGAAGTTTTGTTTCTCACCACTTGGCAGCGGTTTTGGTCTGTTTTCATGCTTTGTCGTGCTCACCAGCTGTCTGGCCGCTACGACACACAGCTGTACAGTCATCCAGTTATGCTTTTACTTTCACTCTGTGCCATAGTTGCATTCACTCAGACTTTTACAGCAGAGCTTCACTGACTGAACTTGACCTATCAGATCTGGGGTGACCATTTAGACTTCAGGGGTGATCATGGCTCCACCCAATCTGATAATAACTGGTTTAAAGAAATACAAACAAGCAAGACTGTTGTAGTCAGCCATGAGGTGCAGTCAGACTGCTCTGCACAGCGCTGTGCCAGTGCTAGAATTTGCTTTTACAGTACTTTCACACAGTACCATTCACTCAAACTTTTAGATCAGAGTTTCATTGAATGAACTTGAATTATGAGATTTGGGATGATCATGGCTCCACCCAATCTGATAATGATTGGTTTAAAGAAAAAGAAGCAAGCAAGAGTGTTTCTCACGGTGGCCGATGAAGGCCAATGACATGCATACACATGAATGCGTTGCATAAACAGAAACCTGCTGCAAAAAGAAAATGCTGCATTAGAAAAAGATGATATTTTTGTATGATTTGGCCTGTCATCCACACAAAAGCACAAACGATCCTTTCAAAAACCTCCGACCAAAGTGAAGATTTCTGAATCCTCCATTTACGCGTCTGCATGTGGACGTCAGGAACCGGGGTTTTAGGTTTTATAACGTCACTGCCTGCCACAAAATCTGTTCTTACATCACATATGCGACCTGTGTTTACATTTGGAAACAGCACGGATGCCCTCAGAACTGTGTTGGCGTTGTCTCTGGTCCAGGCCCAGATACTGCTCCAATTACAAGACTGACTTTAAGGACGGTTATATTATGAGCTCGAGAAATGGAAGCTTACTCTGATTGGACAGGATTTGGGGAACTACTGCCACCTGAAGGTTCTGCATGCTTATGAATGTGCTGAACAACACACTTATGGTGTGGTGAATTTTTTTTCTAAAAACAAGGTGATGTGTGTGTGTGTGGGGGGGGATATTCGGTTTTATAAAAACCCTGCTAACTGTGGACAAGGCCTCAGTGTTGCATTCATCCATCATCTCTACACACTTAATCCTCATGGGGGGCTGGAGTCTATCCCAGCTGACTCAGGGTGAAGGCAGGTTCACCTGGACAGGTAACCAGTCTATCACAGGGCTACACTTAGAGACAGACAACCAAGCACACTCACATTCACACCTACAGACAATTTACAATCACCAATTAACCTCAGCATGTTTATGGACTGTGGGAGGAAGCCGGAGAACCCGGAGAGAACCCACGCTGCACGGGGAGAACATGGAGACTCCACACAGAAAGATCCCGGGTGTCCTCACCACGAACCAGCAACCTTCTTGCTGCTTGGCTACCAACTGACCCACCTTGCAGCTCCTGTTGCAGTCAGTGAAACTTTTATATCAGACTTTCAGGTCAGATCTGAGGCGGCCAATAAAAATTTAGGGACAGCTGTAGCTCCGCCCAATATGGGTTGGATTGGTTTAAAGAAATATAAACTAGCCTGATCATCCCCCCTGTAGCAGCATAATAAGAAGGTGCAGCCAGACCATTCTGGACAGAACAGACTGACTCTGAGAGACTAACAGCGATGGAAACATATTTTGTTCTTTTGTTGCTGTCATCTGCTAAGTTCTCATGAGGCTTGTTTTTTTGTTTGTTTTTTTTTAATTGGGCATTCACTGTGATATTAATGGGGGACATGGGTTGAACATGCTTTGCAGAGAGCACAGTTTGTCACATTTGTAATTAGAAATAAAACGGTGCAATTATGAGGTTTGAATGAAACGGGGCCCTCTGTGTTTGCCTCCACCGAGGAGCACCTCCAGAACAAATGCACTCCTATTGTTGCATTTATTAAAAGCCCGCGTGTTATTTCCTATAAAGCTGCTGGTGCCATTAATTATTGCAGCACATTTGTACAGCGTGTTCGTCTGCTCCCCTCCTGCGATAAACACTTGTAGGTACAACCTGCACTGCGCATGCGCCCTTCCTCCCGTATGCGCTCGCAGACATCATCACAGGTTGAAGTGAACATCCTCGTCCGCCAGGAGGGTTTGTTTTATTTATCTCTGCCCTGCTTTTTTTTTTTTCCTCCGTTCCTTCGCCGCCGCTGCTGCTTTCTGCCGCCGCGACAACAACAGCAGCAGCAGCAGCAGCACGGAGGAAGCAGAAGCCATAAGATGAAGAAACGCTATGTGGACGCGAGCAGGCTACGGAAGATGAAGAAGCTGAAAATCACGGAGAAGCTGTCTGAGAGGTAGCGAGCAGCGCCGCGAGCCGCGTCGCCCCGGCGGCGGCGGCGGCGGCGGCTTTTGTTGTGTGTCCGTCTTTGTGTGAATTTCAGCCGTCGTCATCCCGCTCACCTGTCTGCATCCCGTCACTTTCAGCCGGGCTCACACCGACCCGTCCGGGAGCAGTACCGAGCCCCACTGCGGCTGAATTCAGCAGCAACCAAAAAAAAAAATAAAAAAAAAATGTGGAGTTACTTCATCCTACATTGTTTACAGGAGAGACGAGAAAGCAGCAGCTGTGCAAGTTGACGTCGGCCTGCTTCGGCTCCAGTCTGCTTTCACACTGGTTCCTCCATCCACTAAAAATATTCTCATGTGCATCCTCTCCTACGTGCCCGAAGGGAAGCAGCTCGTTTTGCACATAAAAGCAGAATTTAAAAACCCTCCAGACAAGAAAAGAATGCCACAGAAGAAAGAAACCACTTGTTCTGAGTGTGCATCTTTTCCACAGAAGCAGGACAAAGCCGTGATATTTCTACGGGAGGTTGAACCACTGCCTTGTTCTGAGGATATTTTCCTGAATTTGCAATCTGGCCACTTCTAA